CTTTGATTTATCCTTTTGATTGCTAGCACAATCGTATAAAGGGATATTTTGGGTATTATATTAATATGTATGGAAGTTTGTCAGTGGCCAACAAAGGATTCGACACTTATGAAGATAATTGAATTTCCTATGTGTTTCATAGTTAGTAATTCAAAGTCCTTGGCCAAGGCGGGATGAATAGAGATTCATAAACGAATTACTAAACTTGAAATGGAATCATAGTTATTAAATCAATTTGGGTTTCGACAAAATCATACCCAAAGATTTAATCGAGAAATTGGATGTCGAAAGGATTTTACATGTATGGACTTGTAATCGAAATAGGTTTACTCGATATTCACTTAATACTAGATTCATGCTACTTGCTAGATGTTCCCATGATATGTGGGTTCTTGAATTAAAGAGTTAATTCAAGAATAAGAGTTAATATGAATAACTCAAATTACAAAGAGTTGTAAACCTACTATTAGTATTAATTGTGAACCTAAAAGGTCACACCAATTTTTGAATGAAGGTAAAATTCAAATAGTAATTCTAAAGAGTTAGAATTAATTGACAAATCTAATTTGATTAGATGTCAATTAAAGGAATATATTAAATTAATCAATTGGATTGATTAATTGAATTTTGGATATTAATTTAGTAACTAATGGAATTACTAATTAATAGTTGGAATTTAAAATTGGATTTTAAATTTTAAGTCCAAATAATAATATGATTATTAAATAAGGAAATTGGTGGTACATCTTGACGGTATAATGGAACACATCCAGTCCGTTGAGCCGCAAGTCGATGAGCCCCTTATCAATGCCTATCAGATCCAGATTCACGCAGGTGAGACTGAAGAAGAGGAAGATGTGCTTCCAGAGATTGAGGGTGATATCCTGATAGAGGAAACTCCTGGGCCTGAAGTCGAGAGTCCCTCACTTGAGCCATTCCTCCACATCGTCGAGAAGACTCCATTTAGCTCGATATACTCCACAGACACTCTCGTATTCCGAGAGATTGACTATGGAGCTTTGATGAGAAGAGCTCTGGGCCGTTTTGTTGCCATCCTTGGAGCTCATGCTCGGTTCCACAAAAATATTGCCACCCGAGCCAACTAGGTCCACAGACATGCCACGCTTTCCGTGCTGCCATTTCTTAAGGATACAAAGGCGTGGCATGATCGTCACTTCTTCCTAGACCCTGGTTGATTCCCTCACAGGTTTCGTCAAGCTAATGACGTTAAACAAGCGCTTCTTGGGAGGCAACCCAAGTGATTTATTGCTTTCTAGAATTTTTCTTTATGCTCTTTTATTTTAGCTTTGAATAATGAGAGTTTGGAGTTTTTTTGTTTTTCTTGGCAGGTGCGAGATTGCGAGCTCAAGGTTATGAGCGAAGTGTGGGCGAGTGAATTGCACGTGGATGCTTGTTCTCCCCGAGGCATTTTCGGTTTGCACACCCTTTTTTCTTTTTTATTTTTAGTTTGTTTTCTCCTTCTGTCCTTTCTTTTGAGTCTTGTGTTTCTAGGGTAGTTTGTGGTACTGGTTCATGATATAAAATTGATGGGTCCTTTATTTGACTTCTTGTTTTGTGTTGAAGCAATGAGGTCATTGCCTCATTTTAAGTGTGGGGGATTCTAGTTGGATTTTGCATGTTTATGTGGTGGACCGGTCTAGCTTTAGGTTTTTGTTTTGATTGAGCATGGTATTGGTGAATGATATGATTTTTCGATAAATGTTTGATGAAATTGGGAAGTTGTGATGACGGACGTGTGGTCATTGCCTCGGTATTTGCTTGATTGCTTTGAGTGACATCGATTTTCCTTGTGAGATTTTGACCTTTACTCTTCTTTCTGTGAGATATTGGTCATATACTTGAATGATTAGAACTTGCCTTGAGTTTGTTTGAAAGGAATCGATTAGAGTTTGAAATTGCGAAAGTGATTGAGGCGTTTTGTTTGATTAGCTCTCTTCAGCCTTGTTCTTTGATCCCTAAACGTTATTTCCCTAGTAGCCCATTAGAGATTTGAGCTTTTTTCTTGTCAGTCGTACATGGAATGTATTTTGTTGACTAATTTGGTGATGATTGGTGAAAATGGTGTCGTTGTTGAATGAGGTGAATTGGAGTTGCATTTTATTTGCTTGACCAGTTAAAACCAAAAAAAAACAAAAAAAAACAAAAACAAAAAAACATGAGAGCTCACTGGACAATTAGAATGGATTCTGATCCTCTTACTAGTCGATTCATGTTGACGGGTAATGATCATTTAGAAACTACTGTAGGACACTTGGATGACCTCCAATGTCTATAGCTACAGAATGTTGTCCTTTTGATTTGATCTTATTCGAAAAAAGTTACTCTCCAAAAAAGAATAAAGTAAAAAAAATTGGGTCAAGTAATGTTGCAATTCGACAAGAGCAGATAGGTGTTGTTTGTGGGTTGTTTGGTGGATGGTAATGGTGCTATATCGTTGATTTCGGATGAGTAGCGGACATTCGAGTATTTTATTACTCGAGCACTTTGATTGTTTATCTGAGCATCTTGTCTATATATATCCTTACCTTTACCTAAGCTTACATTACAACCCGTGAAGTCCTCTTGATTCGCAAGTCTTGAGGTTTGATTGTTTCTGAGTAATTTAGACGATTAACAAGCATATGTTGAAACTTGACTATTGACCAACTTTGAGCATACCTATGACACTCATGTAAGAAAATGAGTGACGCCTATATTATAATCTATGCGTTTGAGAGTTGGTCATTTCAAGGCCAAGTTGATATTTGAGGCATATGGTCATATGGTCATTGGAATTCGTCTCCATTGAGTTGGGCATTTTGAAACTCTTCATATTTGAAACTGTATCCATGCTCGTGTCTTGTTTTCTTTTCTTTTTGTTCGGGACGAACAAAGATTTTAGTGTTGGGGAGTTGTTTGTCCCATTTTTGTTGTACTTTTCTTTGCTATTTTATCATTCTTTTTCCCCCGATTTGAGTCATTTAGTTGGTTTTTAGGTCGTTTTGTCGTTTATTGCGTGTTTTGCGTTATTTTGAGTGCCTTGGTGTGTTCCGTTTGCTTTCCGGTGTTTTTAGATTTTGTTTTCGTTTTTGGTGTGCAGGTAGGAAGCTCCGAAAGGACAGGTTTTCAAGAAAATATTTGATGGGTTTGCATAGTTAGATAGAGGGGTTCGTTAGCGACGCGTAGAAAAAAACGAAACTCAATTCCGAGTTAAAACGAACCCGAACGAGCAAAAATTGTAAAGACGCGCGCAACAGCCAAATTTTGTTCACCGCGGGCAGCGGAGAAATCCCGCGGCCGCGGGAGCACTACTGCAGCTGAAAGGTCGCGGCCGCGGAGCTTCCCGCGACCGCGGAGGTCGCGACCAGAATTTTTAAAACCCGTTTTGCTCTATTTTTCGAGTACTTTTCATTGGGACTCGTTCCCAACCTTGGAAACACCTCCAAAACTCCTCTTTTCAGTTCCTTTTTCATCTTGATTCAATCTTGGAGGGTGACACTCCAGGAATCGATTTGTAAATAGTTTCTTGGGATTATTTCTCCATTTTTTCTTTTTCTCCCATGCTTGGATTGTTGGAAACAAAGACATTAGGATCGAACTCTTACAAGTCTTAATCCGATTGTAAGTTTTCAATTCTATTATATTATTGTTGATTGAGTTTATGTTTTTCAATTTGATTAACATGGAATTGAATCCAAGAATGAGGTAATCCATTTACCTAGGGTTAGGGATTTTGATTCTTGTTTTGAATTGTGTTGGATGTGTTTTGTTCAATCTATGTGAGTTGCATTAAAAAAGGGTTTCCAATTCTCATTCTTGAATGTTGAATATTGTTGAAGAGTGACACTTCAATTTGCAATTGTTTTCCAATTGGATATGATTCATTCGAGTTTGATGATGTTAATTTCAATAGATTAGTTGATTAACCACCGTCTAATCTAAATTAGTCAACTCTTAGAACCGAAAGAGGACGATTTGATCAATTTAGGCTCGTATAGAGTAGACATGTTCGTAAAATTATTATCTATGAGTTGCTTGATTGAATGAGTTTGTCGTTTATGTGTGTGATCTTGTTACAAAAAGTTAAATCGTGTAGCGTCAAATCTTTGAGGAAAGGAAACTTGGAGGATAAGTCGCCCGTCGCAACAAAATTTAAAAATGTCATGTCGCAAAGAAGACAAGTCAACATATGAGACTTGGCGAGACCATCACCAACCAAACACGTATAGCAAACATTATCGACTAAAGATAATTTCTTAATCGAGGGACAGCTGGAGATTATGCGATAAATCTTGTTGGGCTCGACGATATCGACATGGCTTAAACTAAGGGATTCGAGACGAGGACATCTCACAGTAGCAAGTCGATCTAGCTGGTTTAGATCGATCCGACATTTCTCCACGGATAACCGGACAATATTTTCAGCTTCAAAAACCTCATTCGGAAACATAAAATCTCCACCGGTGTCGAGACGAGTCGCGCCCACAGTAAGTGCTTTAGGGATCAATTCCTTATAAAGAACACGTGAGCAAGTAATATCATCATCAGTATCCCCCCATTCGGTGTATTCACGAAACCTCAGACTCCCGATCTTCAGCTTCAGTTGCTCGTACCTCGAAATAGTGTTCTTCACGAATTTCGAGAATTTGTCGTCTGAGCTACAAAAAATATATTTTTAATTAATGTAATGATTAATGTATAAGTTAAATATATAGTTTAGATTTCTATCTTTTACTTTTACAATTAATGAAATTTATTAAATGTGATATGCTTAAAGTTTTATACACAAACATATAACTTAAAAAAAAAAAAAAAAAAAAATTGTTTTCATTTGTGCAAAAACGTTTTTTTTTTGGGAGTAGATAGAGTGTTGAAAAAAGTGTGGGTTGGTTGGGTGGGTAGATAGAGTGCAAAAATTGTATAAGCCGCCGGGGTTAAAACTGAATGTTCAGCCAATGCATATGTATATACATATAATATTGTTGTTCATCGCAACGTTCATGGTAAATAAGGCTTTGGTGACTAAACTGAACAATATTGTTATTGCTGCTCCTTTATAGTAATGTGGTTTTGGCAGATGTTTGTAATTTGCTTAGATCTTTCCTTTTCTTCTTCTGTTGTAGATCCTCTGTGGCCTTAGAACGTCCAACCTCCTCGTGCATTACCTATCTCACACCCACAATCACCATTTCCGGGTACCCCAAGAACAAAAGGACTACGTCATCAAACAGGTTGTATGTTTCGGGCGTCGGTTGCAGAGGGAGATGAAAGCAGTGCACTTCATGAAGAGCCGAGCTCGAAACGTGCATGAGTGGTTTGGACAGGGACAAAGCTTCTGTCTTTTACAAACGAGAACCGAGCTCATAACCGTGTTCCTAACCGTCCTCATAACTATTGCGGCGGCTCTGGCGTCGAGCCCTGAGGTCGGCTCGTCCATGAATAAGATCGAAGGGTTGGCCACGAGACGTGCCACATTGATGAACAAACTAGAAAGGTACATAGTTGTGGATCTTTATTTATTTATTTATTTATTTTTTATTTTTTTGTTATCTATACTCAGAAAATCATTTTTGTCTTGTGGTGGAAGGTATTTGTTGATGAAGTAATGGAGCCTGTGGAGCCACCCCAGTGAGAGTATTGCTAGTTGGGCTGCCAGGTGTGTATGGGCTCTCGACCGAGCAGAGAAAGAGGCTCACGATAGCGGTGGATAATTTTGAGGAAAACGATACCCGTTCAATTGGTGAGCCTCTTGTTTTGCGGATGAAGAATTTGAGTTACCAGAGCACATAATCCACCGCATTCAATCCTTCCTCACCGGAAAAGAAGCTGCTCGGACGTCTATCCTCTCCAATGCGTGGCACCACGCGGCCATCACTCGCCCGAATCTCGACTTTGACGTACACGATTTCAGAATCGGTCGTGATGAAGACGAGCCAAACAGCAGCTCACGCGACAAATTCTCAAAATTCGTGAAGAACACTATTTTGAGGTACGAGCAACTGAAGCTGAAGATCGGGAGTCTGAGGTTTCGTGAATACACCGAATGGGCTTACCCAAAAGAGATAGTGATTAGCAGCCGTTCGCTCGAGCGCTTGAATTTCGTTTGCTTCGAGCAATATTCAGAGAAAAAAATCAGGTTCGATGTCCCGAATCTCAACAAGTTCACGTACGAAGGTCCACCACAAATGTAAGAGTCAGATCTTTGTTACATGCCTTCCCGACCCACAAATTTCATCCAAAGTACAAGCCATACACGAATTACAGATTTACACTACATAAAGCAAATGTTTAGCAAGCTCCAGAAAGACGATCAGCCTTGAGATTAAGAAGAAAAAAAAAAAAGAGAAGACTTGACTAAGGCATTTACACAACTGCATCAAACAAGACGCATAAAAATGTCTTCAATAACCCCTAATAATGAATATCCAGATATTCTCTTTCAAAGCTATAATGGAAATTGGCAATCACTCTACTATACCCTTTGCTTCACACGTCTACCGTTGACATCACTACCATCCAAAATACCTTCAGTTCCTGGCTTTCCAACAGCTATGGAGTGTTCAGTGATCCGTGCCACATACTCTAACAACTCAGCCAGAACATGAGGACAGCTTTCTTTCAAATACTCAAGCCCGTCCGTCTGCAAACCCACAAATACATCTTACTATAACATCAAACACATATATAAACCATCCAATTCAAACATACACAATTCAAAAAAGCATCAAACTTACACCAATTACCAAACATGGAACAAAATCTCCAGCTCAAACAGAACCAATTAACAAACTCACACACAAAACAGACAAAACGAAATCTAAACCATCCAATTCAAAAGATAACTGAGGCCTATTATATTAAATCACAACTTCTACCACATAGTACCTGAAAACCTCTATCATCTAGTCTTGTAACCAACAATCCTCAATCAGGAATCGGAAATGAAGAACTGCAAAGTACTCGATTGTAGTTCTTTCACTATATTAATTCCCACTGAGATAATGAAAGCTCGCATATATGATGCCGATAGCAAAACCAAATGAAATAAGTTCAAAATTGCTGACAACAAGAAATTTGCAGGATCATCGTGTGTTTGCAGTAATTACCGAATCTTTTCATCCATTTGTTTTATTCTCAGTTCAGTTGTAAGTAACCAGCCATGAAATGCAACGAATGAATCGTATGTTCAAGCAAGGTGGAAAACATATGCATAATTACAGCAGAAACAGAATAGCATATTCAAACCTCATAAACGAGTAACTCATAGTCGATTAAAGATAATTCAATTCCAGATAAGGAGATTATCAAACACTTAAAACCCCAGTAAATTACGCTATCACACGAAGAAAAACAGTAATATATGATGAACAAGAGGAACATCAAAACAATTTCAAAGACGACATTCATTCCATCAAACACAAACAAAGGAAGAAAAAACACAACATGCAATTTGAAAATTGAAATTATGTGCAAGCAAATTGAACAAAAGGTAAAAAAAAGATATGAAAATCAATAACCGCATTAATACGAATGCATCAAGCCGCACTTCATTCGTGTCAATCAATCGAATAACCCACAAAGAGAAAAGGCAAAACTGAATAATCAAAGCACTAATCTGAGCAACTACTCATAATTAGGGTTACAAAATCCCTCAAACTGAAGAATCAAAATATATTACATACCACCGTGCCGTGAGGCCTGAGCTCGCAACAACTCATAATTAGGGTTAAAAAATCCCTCAAAATTTAGAATCAAGATGATAATAGAGCAAAAATCACATAGAAGAAGTATTGTGAAAAAAAAAAAAAACAAAAATGGATAGTAAAATACTAGAATGAAAACACACAACTCAGGAGGTCGTCCTCGGAATGCCGACCTCGCCCACGTCAACCACGCCTGTTGTCGACGTCGCCGGCGACTTCCAAATTGGGGCTCCTGTGTTTCAGATGAGGGCAAATGACGAGGGCTCGAATATGAGGGGAATGACAAGGGCTCCTGTGTATAAGGGTAGTTCTGTCAAATTTAGTTCATCATCTAATTTAGTCCTACAGTTACAGTTGATTTGTTATCAGAAAATTGGATCCAATGAAGTAAACATAGGACAACTGCGTGTAAAGTGAGTTGGACTAAATTGTCCAAAAGTTTAATAATATTTGACACAACCAGTGTTTTAAATAGAACAATTTTGCGCGTTATAGCGCATTTTTACCCGAAACGCGACATAGCGCATATAATTTCGCGCAGTTCCAGAAAAGCGCACACAATTTGCACTATATTTTACGCTATTTACGTAATTTACGCTATATTTTGCGTTATTTACGCTATTTCTCACGCTATTTGGAAAATCTTTATTTATAGGCAAAAAATAAAAAATAAAATAATAAAATACAAAAAAAAAAAGGAAGGCACAAAATTGAGGAATTTCTCCCATGGCGAATTTGAGTGATTATTAGATTATGTTTTGTATTTCTCTTGAAAAAAAAATATTTGAAAAATTGATATCAACATAGCTATGATTGACCTTTTCGACTGATAGAATAATGTGATGTTTATGTTTCTTAAGCTCAAAAGTGAAATGAGAAGAATACTTTTTTTTTTCTCCAAATGATGTGGAGATGCAAGAATTTGGTGAAATTGTACGAATTATTTTTTGTAGTGAAAATTTTCAAAAGTTTGATAGAAATGACGGTGATAGCCAAATTCAATTGGATAACACTGATCATTTTAAAATTTTGAGTCTCCACTTTAAACATTAAGAGCATGTTTGTTTATAAAAAAAAATTGTTTTGTTTGGGAATTTTGGTTTGGTTTAGTTAATTTTGAAAAATGTGGTATGATTAGTTGTTAGTGGATATATTAAAATAATAATTAAAATAATTTGATGTAAAAGTAGGAGAGAGATGGTTTGATGTGATAGTTAAAATAATGTGAGTGGATAAATAGTGAATTAAGGTTGATGTGGTGTGTATTAATGATTGATTAAGGGTGTGTTTGACACGTATAATAAGCTAGCTTATAGCTTATTTGGTTAGCTTATAAGCTTTCTGTATCAAATAAGCTCCGTTTGGTAGGACGAGCTTATTTAAAAAGCTCGAGCTTATTTGATAAGCTTGTTTAGGTAGCGTTTCAAAATAAGCTAGTTGACTTTTTTATTTCAGCTAGCTTATAAGCTAGTTTTACCAAACACTTCTATCATATAAGCTAGTTTTTCAACTATAAATCATAAGCTATAAGCTATAAGCTAGCTTATATCTTATCAGCTACCAGCTAGATTATAAGCTATCAGCTAGCTTATCAGCTAGGTTTACCAAACACACCCTAATATTATTTAATTATATTGAATAGTGAGATTGAGTTAAAGTTGAGTTAAAAAAAGTGATTGAGTTAAAATGGTGGAATTTTTTTTTTTAAAATTTCCATACACAAACGTGCTGTAAGACTTTGGTTGTTTGAATAATTAATATTTGAATGTCATTTTTTAGATTCAATGTCCAATTTAATTTATAGTTTAAGATCATTTTAATTATTTATTCGCTTCTATGGTTATATATTACTATTATTTTTGGCATTGAAAGTGAATTGCTCGAATAGCTTACGCAATATGCTACGTTATTGCGCGATGCGCGTTTTAAAACATTGGACACAACCCATGAAAAATATGTCCAATATTGTTTTTCGCATATAATTTTTTAATACCCAGATATCTAAATACAAAACTTTAACCAAAAAAAAAAAAAAAA